TTGCAAAACATTTGACAAGAATCAATCAAAATTGTGACATTATTATAAGTAATGAAATTCCCGAGTCTGTTCGTATTGGTTCATTAGTTCATCCTTCAATGAAGATTACAGAATCAAAATCAGCGCAATCACAACGTTCTGAATCTAGAAGAGAAGCATTAGCTGCTAAAAAAGCCAATAAGAATGATGATGAGATTGATGAAAGTGCAGGAAGTACTCCTGTACCATCAAATTCAATCATGGTACCTTCTGCTCAAACTAAAAAGAAGAAAGAAAAGAAACAAGAAGAAAGACCATCTACACCCAATGTTGGGGGAACAACAGCTACAGCAACAACAACATCATCATCATCGACTACAACAACAACAACAACTAAAAAAAGAAAGCAAGTTTCAAATAATAATTCTACTCATACAAATAGTAATGGAAGTTCAGCACTACAAGAGGAAGAGGATGAAAAAGTCATCAAAAAGGCTAAACCTAAGGCAAAGAAAGAGAAGAAATCCGCTGATACTTCATCCAATAGTGGTTCGAATGCTAATAATAATGGTAGCGGACACCCAAGGTCATCTACTCCTCAAACAGCGATTCAATCTTCAACCTCAGGTAGTGCCACATCAAACTCCTCTACAAAATCCCAATCAAAACACGCTTCTTCTTCTTTATCATCTTCATCTTCATCCAACGGTGCAACGGCACATTATGCATCTACGCCCAACTCTAATACTTCTGGTACCACTACTGGAGGATCTGCTAAACATGCTGCTAATACGACAGTTGAGTCTGAGCCTGTTTACTGTTATTGTCAACAGGTATCATATGGTGAGATGGTAGGATGTGACGGAGAGCATTGTTTGAAAGAATGGTTCCATTTACCGTGTACTGGATTGAAAGAACTACCAAGAGGTGAATGGTACTGTGATGAATGTAAATCTAAGATGAGAAGAAAGTGATAATATGAAGATAAATAGTAGTTTTTAATGAAAAATAGTTTATATTGAAATGTCCCAAAACAGTAATTATTTACGCCGCACAGTTTTTAAATCTGAGACTTTAAATTTGAAGTTTTCCATTCAGTATGGGTTTACTTCATATATGGAGAGGAAACTATAACTTGTACACTTCACTTGTTTAATCTTGACCAATATTATATGGCATCTGGTGTAAATAATGGTAAGTATCGTATTTTATCTTGTTTTGAATGTCCAAAAACTAACAGTGTAGCACAAATATTATGGCTTGAATTAGAACACCTCACAATACAACTACGATGATATAATCCCATCTCCGATCCCAGCAACTCCAGATACACTTACTCAAATTCTGTATTCTGATCAGTATAAGCTGGTACTTTCATACATTCGTCCATTACTTTTGGCGAACGAGCTTTCGTTGAGGGCATTGCACCTCACTACCAAGACGATAGAACTAGTTCCAGCTCATTATACCATTTGGTACTATAGGTACAACATTGTTGCTCATTTACAATCTTCTAAAGATGGTTTACCTGGTAATGGATTGATTGATGAATTGGATTGGTGTGAAAGTATGGGGATAAGTACGTTGAAGAGTTATCAAATATGGAACTACAGGAAACTAATCATTCAACTCATTCAAACCGATAAAGATTACGATTTCAATAAAGAGTTTGAAATTGTAGCTCGAGTTTTGGATGAAGATGAAAAAAATTATCATGTTTGGTCATACCGTAAATGGTTAGTGGAGACCTTCAATCTTTATAACAGCGAATCTGAATTGAAATATACTGCTGATTTATTGAATAAAGATGTGAGAAATAATTCTGCTTGGAATCATAGATTTGTCGTTTCTCTTGGTGAGTCTTTATCACAAGATGTATTTCAAAGAGAGCTGGACTATGTTAAGAAGATGATTGGTGTTGCACCAACCAACCCATCATCCTGGAATTATTTGAAAGGTCTATATAAGAAATTGGGGAAGTCGCTGGTAGATCTCAAACCTTTTGTCGTGAAATATACTGAATCAGATAATCTTTCAGTCTATGCATATGAAATATTGGCTGACATCCATGTTGAAGAGAAGAATTTGGTTAAAAGTGCTGAAATATACGATTTACTAGGTGGTAAATTGGACTCTATAAGGGTGAATTACTGGAAATACAAAAAGAGTCAGATTACCTTGGGAGTTTAAGGTATCAATAGGATTATATAAATAGGTTTCATATATGTTTAATACTATTCCAAGGACACATTAACCAGTAAAAGTAGTAGAAGTGTTATCATGACACTAGTACATCCTTGCACTCTGCTAATAACAAACTATATAATCGTCCCAAAACGGCTAAACACAAACACGCGTCGACGTCGCAAACTCGCAATCGATCGACGCAACAAACAAGAATAGTAAGACACATCTGTTTTGGATTTGTTGTTGTTACTGCTCTCTTGTTTCTCTTTTTTCTGCTTTCTCTTTGATTTACTTCATGAACCTTCATCTTGAACTATTTCTTTTTGTATTTGCTTACTCGATCCGTTTGATATTTTGCTTTTAAAGAAAATTCTCAACCATTGCAGTTCTCTTTGCTTTTCACATCACGTTTGCCCTAAAAATTAGCAAACAGTACACGAAAATTTCAACCATTTATTTACCCTTTATTTGATACCATTATGTCTCTTACTCACAAAACCAAAATTCAACTGACTGATATCGCCGATGATTTAAATATTGATGTCTCTGATTGTAAATTCAAGAAAGACATTGCTGAAAGATTATCTGCATTTTTCGTTGAACACGCTTTTTCATTCCCTGAAGATTCAAAATATTATGATTTTGCTAAATATGCAGCAGGTGGAGCTTCCAAACAAAGCTCTCCTATCAAATCCAAGAAGAAGGTCACCATTGATGATTCTCCTATTGGAATCTTGGAAGATGAATCAGTAGACGAGGCCGAAGTTGAAGTTGCTACTGGATCTGGCGATGAAGATGAAGAAGCTGAAGTTGAAGCTGAAGCTGAGGCTGAATCTGAAGAAGCTGAAGCTTCTGAGTCAGACGAACCAAAGGGTTCAGCAGTTTCTCTAGCTTGTACCAAATTGAAAGTTTTCAAGTCAAAGTTCAATTGTGAAGCTATTTCTGATTACATTGAAACCAAAAATTTCGAAATCCGTGAAGAATTGAGTGATCCATTTACTATCAACACAATTACTTTAATTCTTCAAACTTTGTACCTTTCTACCTACTTTTATGAAACAACAACAGTTAAGTCTGCATCTTTTGTTCCTCAATTGATTGCTGATAATTTGAAAGATTACACCATTGTGGATCTAGCAGTCTTGATCAAACCTTCATTCCTTTCAACTTTTGCTCTTTGGTTCTTAGCTTCATATTTGGTTCCAAAAGCAGTTTCATTTTACGTGAATTTCACCTATGATTTCGAATTTGACCCATTTATTCATTCTTTAACAAAGCTATTAGCTACTTTGATCTTATTTAAACTGGAAATTAATGCTTCCGATATTCAATCTGAGATTGCTTTCCAATTTACTAAATCTAGTTTCAGTTATGGGTTCTTGGTCAAATATGCTAGACACTTAGCATTACAAAGTTTGGTGCTACTAAGAGGTGCATTTGGTAACTGGGTCTTGATTGAAGCAGTCTTCAGTAGTATTGTTGCCATTTATGCTAATTTATCTTTCATATAATTCAAAATTAGCTAGCTTTCCTTGCTTGTCCCATCTTGATGTGATCTTCCCCCTCACCTTTATATATTTCCTACCCTTTTTTTTCCAATTTTGAATCAGTTCTTCTTCTATACTTTGTTTTGGTTCTTCCGTCGATTACTTCTATTGTCTGAATGCGGTTTTGTGATTTATATTTCTATGTTTTTTTAGGTTGTTTCTTATTCCTCCCTCTCTATTTTCAACTTTTCAACGACCCTCTTTTCTTTTCTCTTTTATGTACTTTTACTGTCTGAATTACTTATAGTTTACCCTTTGTCCTCGAGTTTCGTTTGATTGAATATATTATCTAGTAAGTTTATTAATCTCGTATCTTATTTATACTCTACATATTATTTTTTGTTTTTTTTTTCAAAAAAACTTTAAATCTTCTTCAACTCCCTCTATATAATCTTCCACTTTACCCCAAACGTCTTTCTCAACTTGTTCTATTCCTTTCCCATCAACAAACAATTCATTCCAGCCCTCAATACCTTTGAATTTTTCGAATGCAACTTTAACTTTCTTTTGAAACTCAACAACCTCATATCTTTCATCACCAAACCCATCTCTAGTCATGTTTTCATCATCATTTTTGAACTTCAAAAAAATTGTCAAATCCGGCTTTGGTAATCCAATGTCAGGTGATAAACACCATTCAAAATCTAATCCTTTGGCAGAACTATAAGCCACTCCAGAGTATACATATCTATCCAAGACAACGATCACACCTTCAGCTAACAATTTTTTGATCTTATCAATCAACTCCCATCGATTTGCAGAGAAAAGTAAATGTGCAGCGTGATCGGAAAGCTCAAATGATTTGTCAGTAAGGTATTGATCGATCAACTTACCTATCTGAGTTGTACGATCAGGAAATTTAATCAACTGATGTGGCTTTCCAAGTTTTGTCAGATGAGAAAGCAAGTTTGTAGTCTGGGTTGTTTTACCCGTTCTATCCAGCCCTTCAATTGCAATCAATGCACCTCGTGTCATGGTTCAAATAAGCTCAATATGTTAATTAATTGATTTCAGAGCTTGCTCTCAATGGATGGGCCTTCAGTTCTTAAGTATGTGTATATTTTGGCGTACTATTCAAAACGCGTTTTTGAAATTTCCTTGATATTCACCAAAAAGCAAACAAACGTCTATAGATCTGCAATAATTCTCAGAGTATAATCTCTAGTAGTAGCTATACGTTCAATTGAACCCATCCGAAAAAACTCAAAGCAGTAAGAGAATGAATGGAGTAAAAGAAAACCCTTATGAAAATAGATTATGTAGAGATCAAAAATTCAAAAAAATAATCGACAGCAGCAGGATTTGAACCTGCGCGGACAAAGTCCATTTGATTGCACATCGAAAATTCGAGTCAAACGCCTTAACCACTCGGCCATACTGTCAAAGTATACCCTAGTTTAACGCGGAATCTGGGCCCTGCTCAACTTTTTCCCCGAAAGTTGAAGCATTTTGGCTGAAATCTGAAGTTTTCCTCTTTCAATGATTCCTCTTCTTTGTGCTGGTGAATATTGATATGGAAGTGGTAGCTTTGTAAATATAGGCAAATTACCTTGAATGGCCCAAACGGCAAACTCTCAGAATCTTGATTCACTCGAATAGGGGTATATTCAAACCTTGTATCTGAAAGGTCCTAAAAGGTCAACATGTCGAGCTCATTCATGCCATCCATATTAGTAACTTTGTTACCCACCAAAGATTACTTGGTCAAGTCGTAAAGATTTCCAAGGCAGCATAAGTTTCGAATGAAGTCATAGTCCAGTACTGAAATATGCAAATTTGCTAGCTCTAAAGGGAAAAGACTACTGAACCGATTGTACTTCAATACCAAAAGTTGAGTCATAGCAAAAAGCCCGTCAGCGTGTGAACTATAACTTTCTTAGGCCAAGAGATATCTCACTTTTGGAACAAACTTATCTTCATATCACCTCAATGTCCCCGGCATGTGATGCACCATCTACTAGCTTCTCATATTCAAAAAATAGTAAATGTTTTTCTTCAAAGAATTAAACCGACCTTCATTGCTTCTTTCATCGTGGCGAGACGTTACATCCGATCGGAATCCATATTTAGTTAGTTCAACCAGCCGATATCATTGATTTTTTCAAATTCCCTTTGGGCTCTGCTTTTGATAAGACAATGTGGTGCCCTTTTTTTTTGACTCTCCTTCCACATGCCAAAATTTGTTATGAAAACCAATCATTCACCATTCCACCTTTTCATGAACTCATCGACAACGTTCCTCGTTTCGCTATCTCCGCGATCTTAAAACTGAATTCTTACTGAGACGAACTCGCTGCGTTCCTGGATCTCAATTCGGCCCCCGTGCTATACCAGTCACCCTAGAAGTTCTCCAAAATGCTGGTGTTCTACCTTCATTTCCTTCCACTCCACACTATGATGGTACACTTGTCCCTGGTACACCGCTTTCACCGACCTACCCTCCTGTAGCTTTCATGTTTTAAGCTTGGTACCAGCTGGTTGAAAACTCAAATTTGGCGCAAACCTCTCACACGCTTGTCCCCGTTGACTCATATGAATTATCGCTCAACTTGACTCGATCCTTAAGTTCAATTGAAATTCTGCCTTCTTCCCTTCTGATCGATGTTTCCAGCTCGAAACTAATCACCAAAGATTGTTGTACTCATATTTCTAGAAAATTCTATACATCTCATTCCACTCAAGTGGCCCAGTACTGGAAATCCCATTCTCACCGTTCTGATATAGAATGGACTGCGTTTCTTGTGTGGTTAGGTAGGAAAAGGGCGGTTATGCCATTCTTTACTGAATGGTTTTACCACCTTCCAGTTGGTACTTTAAATTCTATTTTTTGGAGTGATTGTCATCTGTGTGAAGCTCCACCCATTCCGTCAAAGGGAGTCCAATAGGCACTTTTGACTGTTCCGGCACAAAGTTGCTGTGGCAGAGTACGTGCTCCCTTCCTCTTTCGTATTTACAGAACGAAACAATGATCTGTAATAAACTTCTTACTGATCTGGAACTTTTCCGGTTAAATAAATTTATTGGTCTACTTATTCATACAATACGAACTCAAAATTCCTACTATCATTATGACAACTTGCCGCATATGCACCCTTTAACCAAGGAGTCTATATTTGATTTCGAAACTAGTTTTGATTTGAATTATGGGTTTTGGAATTCTTCTCCTCAAAAAGATCTATTTCGGATCCTTTTTTTTCTGTTCTATATTTTTCTTTTTTTTTTTTTTTTCAACGGTTTTTATATCTATTTCTTTTCTTTTTCTATATATTTCTTTTTTTCTTTTAAGTTTTTTACTCTTTAGATAAATTTTTATCCTTCCGCATGAAATATGGGAATTTAATTTTTATAGTTTACAGGTTTCAATCAAACCTCATATATACTTTAATAAATTCCTTTCATTCGCCGTTGAAAAAAAAAAAAAGTTCAATATATTGTTTACAACATCTAACCTTCAAATAAGGAAGTTCAATTCTTGGGGGTAATTGGGTACACTAGCTTTATTCACCACTGCAAAAAAGAAAAAGAGCACGCATATTTTTTTTTCACTCTTATTGGTTTTGAAATGCTTATAGTCATCTAATTTACACTCCTATTCAGTTGAAGTGCTATTATTATTACTATTATAACTGCCATCAATACAGGAGTCTAGCAGCCCGGTTACCAGACAGACGAAAACTTTGCCAAGGGATGGGGCTCAGGACAGGCGAGGGTGCTTTATTCAGGCTTACTTATTTTCAAATAAAAGACATATATTAGTATACACAGACTGCCACAGTGCATTGCGCTGCATTCACTTTAAACACTTGAGCAATTTACTGACCTTTAGATCGGTGGTTGCCATATCTCCCGATATGATATCAAACATCAAACTTTGCAACAATATTCCATACCTATCAATATTGGCAGTCTTGGATTTCAGCCGTAGTAAGAATTTACCATGCAATACATAGTAATGGATGTGGAATAGAAAAGATATCATAACGTTATACATTCTATTTTCTGGGCAAGAATATCTAGCAACGTTGACTTTATTCACCAGCCTCTTATTCTCCCAACCGTATATCTCAATGAGCCTTTTAACTGAATGTGATTTGTAGATGTCTTTTTCATTCTTGGTAGTTTTAGTACTAATTTCCAAGACATTAGCTATGGTTGATTCTGGGCCGTTCTTTTCAATATTGACCAAGTAGCCAATTCCATTCTCAAGTAGTAGGGGGAAAACTTGGTTCTTATGATCGGCAGTTTTCAAGATCTCTCTGAATTCAGCTTCATCAAATTCTAGCTTATTCTTTCTAGTGTAGCTTGACACTAAAATCTCACGCACAAGCAATGGCCATTTTTCATAATTTTCAGGTTTAGATTCAGTCCAGGCTTCCATCATTTCGATGACTTCATCGAATATATCGAGATTCTCGGGTAGGCCATTATCATCACCTGAAAGTTGATCGATAAATTCTTGAGCGGATGACTTGGAAAAATAATCATATTTGGAATTATTTCTTTTTTGAGGTTCTTTTTGTTCTGAATCACTAGAACCTTCAGAGTCGTCATCAATCTCAATAATATCAACGGGTTCCGATGAGGATTTGCCCGATGAGGATGGAGCCGATGTGGATTGGCCTGATGAGGATGAAGCTGATGAAGACTGGCCCGACGAAGATGGAGCTGATGAGGACTGGTCGGACAAGGAAGGAGCCAAAGAGGAATGGTCTTTCATGGCTGGCTTTGAATCTTGCCTCAAATCGGGCTTTAAATCTGGCTTTGACTCTGGTTGTGAATCTGGCTTCAAATCTGGTTGTGAATCTGGCTTCAACTCTGGTTGTGAATTTGGCTTCAAAGCTGGCAACGTATCATGCTTCACATTAGGCTCTGGGATTGATTTTTGATATAGCTTCAAATCTGGCTTTAAGATTGATAATGAAGCATCTTCAACCTCAGACATTATTTTCGGGGACAATCCTGTATTATCTTCAACAATAGTTGAATCTGTCACAGCTTCGAGTTTTTGTCTCTTAGGTCGTGGTTGCGAATCATCCTCTTCCTTCTTCTTATCAGCCAACAGTGGGGGTGATGTGCGGAGTTTCGATTTCTCTGTCATCATATCCACAAGATCATCTCCTAAAACGGTTCTAGAATACGCAAATCTGTCAAACTTTTTGATATCTTCAAAAAATTCTGACACGTCAAATAACGTGGGAGAAAATGTCTTATCAACAAACGTGTTTGTTAGCTGTTCAGGGTTACAGCAGAAAGCATAAATTATCGTCAAAACGTTGATTGCATTGATTGGACAAGCTGGTTCAATCAAATTTGTCACAATATACGGGTTCTTTACCGCTGATTTTTTGATCTTATGACAGATATAATTGATAAAATCGGCTATTTTCAAAATAGTTTTAATAGGGAATGATCGTCTTCCATTGATGGGTTCGGAACAATTGACGATTACAATCTTCTGGTATTCACCAAAATCAATGGCAAGGTGCCAGTCACCATCCCATTTGAATGGATGGAAGATGACTTGTAAATCATTTGATTTTGGTCCGTAATTGTGAACGTCTTGATAAACACCAAATTTGAGTTCTTTATCCAAAGCATACTTATCAAGAATCAGGTTGATGTAATAAAAAAGCATCTCACTGGACCAAATTTTAGATCGATGTGAATCATCTGAGAATTTCAAACGGGATCTCATCCCGGTCAACGTATGCGTGATCACTTCATCAGGAGATAAGGAATGATGTTCCCTAGTCAATAAGCTGTATATGAGAGTGGTTGTTAGTATCGGTTTGTGGTGCGGGTCAAAATTTTACGAGAAATGTCTTGCTTACATGGAATCTGTCAAATCTTCTATGTCAGTGGTGGTGGGTTCTTCAAGTGACATATCCAAGTGGTTTACTCTCAAGAACAAGAATGGAAAAGGGGAATACATTGTTTCAAAGTGGTTCAAAAAAGATTAATTACGAAAAGCAACGGTTATTTCCCTCTGCACAGTAATTGCGCTCGCTGCTCGCCATGGCAGAAGTTCCGATAACTTATATGGAGTTCACAGAATCTCTGCTGTTTACACTGCCTGGTTTAAATACCCTGCCAAAACTTTCAGCACGAGCTAGTTTTTACACATATTGCTGCTATTTGACCTTTCATAAATAAGAAACCAGAACTCAATAGCCTCAATCACGTCTGAAAGTCGAATAGGAGGTATATCCACTCTCTTTTACCCGGTGAACTGTCCCAGTCCCAGTGTCCCAGTATCCCAGTATCCCAGTGCCCGCCCACCGACTCTGCCACCGCGAAGCCAGAAAGCAAAAAAAAAAAAAAAAAAA